GACAGATCGTCTAAGCAAAAGATCAACAAGGAAATAAAGACTTTAAATGACACACTGGACCAAATGGACTTCACAGACATATTCAGAACATTCCACCCCAAAGCAACAAAATACACATTCTTCTCTAGTGCCCATGGAACATTCTCCAGAATAGATCACATCCTAGGTCATAAATCAGGTCTCAACCGGTACCAAAAGATTGGGATCATTCCCTGCCTATTTTCAGACCACAATGCTTTGAAACTAGAACTCAATCACAAGAGGAAAGTCAGAAAGAACTCAAATACATAGGCTAAAGAGCATCCTACTGAAGAATGAATGGGTCAACCAGGAAATTAAAGAAGAATTAAAAAAATACATGGAAACCAATGAAAATGAAAACACAACTGTTCAAAATCTTTGGGATGCAGCAAAGGCAGTCCTAAGAGGAAAGTATATAGCAATACAAGCCTTTCTCAAGAAACAAGAAAGGTCTCAAGTACACAACCTAACCCTACACCTAAAGGAGCTGGAGAAAGAACAGCAAATAAAGCCTAAACCCAGCAGGAGAAGAGAAATCATAAAGATCAGAGCAGAAATCAATGAAATAGAAACTAAAAGAACAGTAGAACAGATCAACGAAACTAGGAGCTGGTTCTTTGAAAGAATTAACAAGATTGATAAACCCCTGGCCAGACTTATCAAAAAGAAAAGAGAAAGGACCCAAATCAACAAAATCATGAATGAAAGAGGAGAGATCACAACCAACACCAAAGAAATACAAACAATTATAAGAACATATTATGAGCAACTCTATGGCAGCAAATTAGATAACCTGGAAGAGATGGATGCATTCCTAGAGATGTATCAACTACCAAAACTGAACCAGGATGAAATAGAAAACCTGAACAGACCTATAACCACTAAGGAAATTGAAGAAGTCATCAAAAATCTCCCAAAAAACAAAAGCCCAGGGCCAGATGGCTTCCCAGGGGAATTCTACCAAACATTTCAAGAAGAATTAAGACCTATTCTTCTGAAACTGTTCCAAAAAATAGAAACGGAAGGAAAACTTCCAAACTCATTTTATGAGGCCAGCATTACCTTGATCCCAAAACCAGACAAAGACCCCATCAAAAAGGAGAATTACAGACCAATATCCCTGATGAACATGGATGCAAAAATTCTCACCAAAATACTAGCCAATAGGATCCAACAGTACATTAAAAGGATTATTCACCATGACCAAGTGGGATTTATCCCTGGGCTGCAAGGTTGGTTCAACATCCACAAATCAATCAATGTGATACAATACATTAACAAAAGAAAGAACAAGAATCATATGATCCTCTCAATAGATGCAGAAAAAGCTTTTGACAAAGTACAGCATCCTTTCTTGATCAAAACTCTTCAGAGTATAGGGATAGAGGGTACATACCTCAATATCATAAAAGCCATCTATGAAAAACCTACAGCAAATATTATTCTCAATGGGGAAAAACTGAGAGCTTTCCCCCTAAGGTCAGGAACGCGGCAGGGATGTCCACTATCACCACTGCTGTTCAACATAGTATTGGAAGTCCTAGCCACAGCAATCAGACAACAAAAAGAAATCAAAGGCATCCAAATCGGCAAAGAAGAAGTCAAACTCTCACTCTTTGCAGATGATATGATACTTTATGTGGAAAACCCAAAAGACTCCACCCCAAAACTGCTAGAACTCATACAGGAATTCAGTAAAGTGGCAGGATATAAAATCAATGCACAGAAGTCAGTGGCATTCCTATACACCAACAACAAGACAGAAGAAAGAGAAATTAAGGAGTCCATCCCATTTACAATTGCACCCAAAACCATAAGATACCTAGGAATAAATCTAACCAAAGAGACAAAGGATCTGTACTCAGAAAACTATAAAATACTCATGAAAGAAATTGAGGAAGACACAAAGAAATGGAAAAACGTTCCATGCTCATGGATTGGAAGAACAAATATTGTGAGGATGTCAATGCTACCTAGAGCAATCTACACATTCAATGCAATCCCCATCAAAATACCATCCACTTTTTTCAAAGAAATGGAACAAATAATCCTAAAATTTGTATGGAACCAGAAAAGACCCCGCATAGCCAGAGGAATGTTGAAAAAGAAAAGAAAAGCCGGCGGCATCACAATTCCGGACTTCCAGCTCTATTATAAAGCTGTCATCATCAAGACAGCATGGTACTGGCACAAAAACAGACACATAGATCAATGGAACAGAATAGAGAGCCCAGAAATGGACCCTCAACTCTATGGTCAACTAATCTTCGACAAAGCAGGAAAGAATGTCCAATGGAACAAAGACAGTCTCTTCAACAAATGGTGTTGGGAAAATTGGATAGACACATGCAGAAGAATGAAACTGGACCATTTCCTTACACCACACACAAAAATAGACTCCAAATGGTTGAAAGACCTCAATGTGAGACAGGAGTCCATCAAAATCCTAAAGGAGAACACAGGCAGCAACCTCTTTGACCTCAGGCGAAGCAACTTCTTCTTAGAAACATCGCCAAAGGCAAGGGAAGCAAGGGCAAAAATGAACTATTGGGACTTCATCAAGATAAAAAGCTTTTGCACAGCAAAGGAAACAGTCAACAAAACCAAAAGACAACCAACAGAATGGGAGAAGATATTTGCAAATGACATATCAGATAAAGGGCTAGTATCCAAAATCGATAAAGAACTCATCAAACTCAACACCCAAAGAACAAAGAATCCAATCAAGAAATGGGCAGAAGACATGAACAGACATTTTTCCAAAGAAGACATCCAAATGGCCAACAGACACATGAAAAAGTGCTCAATATCGCTCAGCATCAGGGAAATCCAAATCAAAACTTCAATGAGATACCACCTCACACCAGTCAGAATGGCTAAAATTAACAAGTCAGGAAATGACAGATGTTGGCGGGGATGCGGAGAAAGGGGAACCCTCCTACACTGTTGGTGGGAATGCAAGCTGGTGCAGCCACTCTGGAAAACTGTATGGAGGTTCCTCAAAAAGTTGAAAATAGAGCTACCATATGATCCAGCAATTGCACTACTGGGTATTTACCCCAAAGATACAAAAGTAGGGATCCGAAGGGGTACGTGCACCCCGATGTTTATAGCAGCAATGTCCACAATAGCCAAACTGTGGAAAGAGCCAAGATGTCCATCGACAGATGAATGGATAAAGAAGAGGTGGTATATATATACAATGGAATATTATGCAGCCATCAAAAGGAATGAGATCTTGCCATTTGTAATCACGTGAATGGAACTGGAGGGTATTATGTTGAGTGAAATAAGTCAAACAGAGAAAGACATGTATCATATGATCTCACTGATATGAGGAATTCTTAATTGCAGGAATCAAACTGAGTGTTGTTGGAGTGGGGGGTGGGGTGGGAGGGATGGGGTGACTGGGTGATGGACACTGGGGAGGGTGTGTGCTCTGGTAAGCGCTGTGAATTGTGCAAGACTGTTGAATCTCAGATCTGTACCTCTGAAACAAATAATGCAATATATGTTAAGAAAAAAAAAAAAAGAAGAAGAAGAAGAAGAAGGTAGCGGAAGGGGAAGAATGAAGCAGGGGAAATCGGAGGGGTAGAGGAACCATGAGAGACGATGGACTCTGAAAAACAAACAGGGTTCTAGAGGGGAGGGGGGGTGGGAGGATGGGTTAGCCTGGTGGTGGGTATTGAGGAGGGCACGTTCTGCATGGAGCACTGGGTGTTGTGCACAAACAATGAATCATGGAACACTTCATCTAAAACTAATGATGTAATGTATGGGGATTAACATAAGAATAAAAAAAATAAAATAAATAAATAAATAAATAAATAAATAAATAAATAAATAAATAAGGAAAAAAAATAACTGAGGCTCTCAAAGAACTCTCAAAGAATTGTTAATATTTACCACATTAGAAAATATTCTCTGTCAATATTTACCATATGGGAAATTAAAATGGTGAATTAAAAAATATTTATAGATTCAATCTAAAATAATAATAAACCTATATGTTAACACACACACAAATATGTTTAATGAAAAGTATAATTATTTTCCAAAACAAAAGAAGAAATAGTGAGATCAATGGGATTTTTTTTTTTTTTGCCAATCCGTTTAGTGTTTGGCTGAAGAGGAGACAGCCATATTCCAGTATCTGCTCCTGCATTTAATCTGATGCCATAGCACACATCACATACCCTCTGGAAAACTCCACTGTGCACTTGAGAGAAAATAAGAGTGAAAAAGCAAACAGCATCTTAGTATTATTAGGAAAGTAGTTCTGATCTCCCTGACCCCCTCAATGGGTCTTGGGAATGTCCAGCGACCCTTTGGCCATCCTTTGAGAACTGCTGGTCTTGATTCTGCCCTAAAACCAACTGAGATTCATTTTAATGAGATTGTTTAATCTGTAGGGTCACTAATACAGACATTTTAGGATTAAGCTTTTTGGCAAACAGGATCTGAAAATTTTCTGAATACTGGGGCGCTGGGATGGCACAGTCAGGTTAAGCATCCAACTCTCGGTTTCAGCTCAGATCATGATCTCAGGGTTGTGAGTACACGTGTATAAAAGCTGCCACTTAGTTTCTGTATTTGCATCTAAAATAATAAGATGTTCATGAGTTTATCTAAAATAAACCTTGATATCATAATGATACCATAATCTAAAACAATCATGCTAATTTTAATATTCAAAAAATAATTAGTGATCAGTTTAATTATTTAGTGGTTAACTTCAGTTAACATTTATTTCTCCTATGCCTCACAGATAAAAGATAATAATATAATCAAGAAGTTATGTAAGCCTTACATCATGAAATGGTTGATGATGCTCACTGAAGAAGTACCAGTTCATTTGGGAAGTCTCCAAAGCTTTGGTCCTCTGAATTGAGTGGTACTTCCCAAGTGATATGATTTAAAACTCAACAAAATTCCAGAAGTTATAACCTGAACTCAAAAACAACAATTTCAGTACTCACTTTACAATATCTCCTTCAAGAGCAATCACTCTTTTAATGATCTTCTGTTCTGGGTTTTTAGGCGACCTAGAATAAAATAAGGTTATACAATCAGTTATGTCTCTATTGTTTTAAGACAATGAAAAGCAATTTTGCGACTAAATGGGCTATATTAAAATCATGACAGAGTCCTTCCCACCCATGACAGTGACATCAATCCTACTTAGGTCTCAAGTGATAGAAAGCTACTATTGATGTCATTCTCATTTTAAACTTCTAGAGGAGGAGAAGCCATGCTGAAAGTTTATTCAAATAAAAAATACAAGAGGGATAAGAGTTTTAACATTAGAGCTAAGCACCTGCAAGAAAGAGGATTCATACATACAAAAATGATTAGACATTTTTTTTTAAATCACATACGTAAGTTTCCTTATTTCATTTAAAATAAACAGTGGAATTTGATTTAAATGTTCAAGAAAACAATACAGATGAGAAGTGCTTTAAAAAGAAAATCAGAAGATTCTTTTAAACTGCATTTAGGCTTAGCCATTTGAAAATTATGTAATTCGGAATGCTAAAACAAGGGTACTGACATCCCACTCTATTCCTGGAATTTCACTCTGGAGAAGACCATGTCCGTCCTGAGCAGCCCTACTGAGACACTGACTTGGTGAGGAAATAAGGTCTGCCAACCATGTGAGCAAACAGCAGCAGAACCTTCAGGCCTAGTCAAGTATTCAGAGACTATAGCTCTGGCCATGTGTCACTACAGTCTCTTGAGAGACCACAAGCCAGACCAGCTATCCATACTGCTTCTGGCTTCATGATACTCAGAAAATATGTGAGATAATAAACATTTGTTGCTTTGAGCTTCGAGATGTTGGAGTAATTTATTACACAGCAATGACTAAATCTTAATAAGACCAATTTCATGCCAATAACATTTTAAGTCTTTTAACAGACACATTTCAAGGAACATCTCATACATCATCACATAAATGATCATTTAATATGAATTTGGAAATCAAGGATAGATAAAAATATTCTCAATTCAAGTCACATTTTGAAAGGAGTTGCTTTTAAAAAGGAAGGTAAATGCACAAAAACTGAAAAGATTAAATATATTCAAAATGCAACACTTCATCAAAGTAAATATGCAGTTTCAATAAGATTTATATTTCACATTATATCTTGCAGAGAAAATGAAATCATCTAAACCATTTGCATCTACTTGTGAAAATTAGTCTCACAATTTTTCACTAAATTATAAATATTCTTTATTTTAAAAGGAAATTTGATCAGAGTTTTAGATTGCACTGTCCCCTTCACTGAACTGATTAACCATTATATTTCTATAATTTTACTGTCATTTATATACAGCCAGAGCGAGGGATCTCGGCACAGTGAAGCTGATGAAATTGTGCAGGACTACTCATAGACATTTAGAAAATTCCCCTCCCATGTCTCTCTCTTTTATTTTAGATAACCAAAAATGTGTAAGATAATATTCAGCCTCAATGATCACCGAAGAATTGCATTTTAGAACAATGGAATATCATTTTCCTATTATACTGACAAACAATAATAATAATAATAATCATAGTAATACCAGTAATACAGTTTGTTGTTGAGGGTCTAGGGACATGGTGCTCTCTATATAAAGCATATGGTCATGTAATGTGCCTTTCTGTAAACACTGTTGATTTTATATTCTCTTTAACAAGACAACTATACTTTTAGGAATTTATCCTAATGAAATGATTATGAATATATGCAAAATTTTAGCTATATGGATGTTATCTATTTTTTAAAAAAATTAGTTAAGAGTAGATTGGTTAAATAGTCCATCCACATAATAAAATATTTTCCAGTCATTAAAAATGATATTAGAGGGACACCTGGGCGGCTCAGTAGGTTAAGCGTCTGCTTTTGGCTCAGGTCATGATCCTAGAGTCCTGGAATCGAGTCCCACATCGGGCTCCTTGCTCAGTGGGGAGCCTGCTTCTCCCTCTGCCTGCCGCTCCCCCTGCTTGTGCTCTCTCTGACAAATAAATAAATAAAATCTTTTAAAGAAAACAAAAATATTATGAAAGAATTTTTAATGATGTGAAATTATCAATGTAATTTACAGATTAAAATGGAAATAGAAAATATTATGTGTACTGTGACCTCGCATCTGTAATTAGAGAAAGAAAATGCACATGCGATTATACTAGAAAAAAACCAGGAAGGACATAAAACCAAAGTTGGGGGGTATGGAGTTCTGTATATGATAAAAAAAAAAAAATGCCTAAATTTTTTTGGTTCAGATTTGTGGGAAGTTTAGGAACAGATGACAACTGTTTGGGTCATATGACATTACCTGAGAAGAAATGCTCCAAGAAAGGGGTGAGACCTGAACTAACTGCCAAGTTCCCCCATCTAATATGGATGCAGTATTAATGTTAATGAAATAATATGAAAAGCAATCCTTATCACCGTAAAGCAATATTTCATGCCGACAACTTTTAAGTTTTTGAGGTACTTGAGAAGTACTTCATATTTTAAAATAATGTATATTTTAAGATCATGAGGAAAAATAGAATATGCAAAGTGAGCTGTCTATATAATTAAAGTCTTATGAATTACCACTTCAAATATATCTATAAATTTTAATGTAATATTAAACTCATGAATCTAATCAAATGATTCAAAGTGGGGAAAAAAGCTATTACTAACATTAATCCCATTACTGCTCAAAATCTATATCTATATTTTAATCATTGGGCTGTTGAAGGCACTACTTTGATGTAAGTAGAAGTGGTATGAGAGTTATAGATTTACATTGTGAAAATCATTGAACTTCCCTTTGTCTAAATTTTCTTGGCCATTTGCCTATCTCCCGGGAAATGTCAAGAATAACAAGTGAAGGATTATACACCTTCCTTAGGGATACCATGTATGCTGTCCAATAATACTAAATTTTGCATTTAAATTTGTAATTTTAGTGTTTTCATAATAAGCATTGTTTTACAATATTTGTTTCTGGAGCCTGAATTTTAAGCATTCTGTTTTATGCCACTGATTTAATTAGGCAAGATTTCTCCAGAGGCTTGGACAGGATGCCTTGAATTGTCAGCATAGGTCTCAGATCAGGTTGGTGTTGCAGAATGTGTGTCTAAATGGAATGGCTAGAGGGAGGGGAACAGAGTCTAGCACAGCTGTAAGATTTCTATGACAATGTTCTTCTCAAATTTCACTCCCTCTCTTGATAAAAATGCAGTTTTCACCCTGCTATGGGGCAAGCAGAGCCATGTCTTAGGTCTCATCATCTCTGTAACTGATTTCATGTTTTTGTATGTTCTTGCTGTACGTTGTAATTTTGATCCTGTCTGTAGCACTAGGAAGGTACTTTAGAATACTCAGCAGATGCCCTCTTGTGTTTTGTGGGAATGGAAAGACTAGCAAGTACGCCACACTCTCTGTTCCTGCCTCCATGCCCATCCTTACGTCACAGGTATACCTTAAACCTGTGTCTAGGCTCTCACTCTTCTCCCATATATAGTAAAATCCTAAAACCTCCCTCTGGATTGTATAGATTTTTATGTTTGCATGGCTCAGGATTGGCCCAGATTAATGATAGAATTAATCTCATTACTAGAAGTCATTTTGGCTACAGTCTAATGTAAGCATTAATCCCTCAAAAATACCACAGATATCAGTCACTAATAACATATATCACTGTGCAGTCTAAATTTTAGTATATGTGCTGCCGAAGCGAGCACTGTGCAGTCTAAATTTTAACTCTTCATTAATGAGATTAAATAACCCATATTCTGGGAATGCCTTATATTAGGCAGATTGTTTTTTATTGTCCAAAAGAATGGTCATGCATTAAAATACATAACTTTATATCATCACAATAAAAAAATATACATTGCTGTTGGAATCATCAAAAAAAGATGTAGAATAAAAAGTCCACTCAACACAGTTATAAAAACTCATATAAAAAGGAAGTCATATCAAATGATAGCTTCCCTCTTCCTTTTATTTTGAGATATGAGCATATAACATTTTATTAGCTTTAGGGGTACAACATAATGATTTGGTATTTGTCTATATTGCAAAATGATCACCACAATAAGTTTCGTTAACATCCATCACCACACAGAGCTACATTTTTTTTTTTTTTTTTTTTTTTTAGATTTCAGAAGACGTTGCCTGGGTTTGGCATGGTTTTCATAGAAGGTTAGAGCTAGAAAGGCCCAGGAGTGTATCCTCCCTGTTGTTTGTGATCTCACCCATTCTCCACGGCCTAAGTGCTTCTACTGGGTCACCTTGTGCCTTGCAAAGGCATGAAGTGGGGTACAATTTCCACGCGGTACAACCCCATTACTAGGGGTTATCACTGTTCTGCTACAAGTGAGCTACTGAGTGTAGGCACCCTACATAACCAATCTGGGTCTCATATTCAGGGAGATAAGGCTAGATCAGAGGTCCTAAACCAGAAGTCAGATAATCGAGGCAGGCTTGTAGAAATGTCTTGTTTGGTTCAGGCATAATTTTTTTTTTTTATCTTGAACTAGCCAAACAAGCAGAGACTTGACATAAAAATACTAATTTCTTGTTCCTCTTGAAAAAATAAGAAGATCTGGCAATCCTAGGCCCCGATTCTTGCATGAAAGAAAGTCCACAGGAGCTGAGAAGCAGATACTGAGGATGTGCCAGAGTCCCAATAGCTTGTTTAACAAATCTCTAGAAATCTTGATGATTTCTCTCATCTCTATTATCGTAATAACTACTGAGTCAACAGGTATGAAATCTCTAGGGTGGGTCTTATGCATAGTAAGTAGGTAAATTCTAGAACTATCTTTTCCTAAAATAAATTCACAAAGGAGATCAATTAAACTGGGCCCAAGCAAACTGTTACAATCCTTCTCTCAGACTCATAGAATATTTATTTCAAAAAAGCTCTAATAAAGGGATTTTCACAGTCTGCTGCATTAGAAGGCAAGAAAGGCATCTTAAAGGTTTGGTCAAGTTTTATTATACAATTAACTAAAGAAATATTAAAGCCAAATATAATACTATTCACACTGAAAAGCACA